GATACCAATCCGCCCGATATCTTATCGGGTGGCTAGCGGATTAATACATTTAAAAGACGATAATCGATAAGCCAAACCGTTAGGAATAAATAACCGCCCAATCCGCCCGATAAGCAGCCCTAACTGCAACATTAACAACCGAATTTGGAAAAACAAAATCGCACATTGAGAGACTAAAAACTTGACTAAACAATAAGAAAGGAGGATAATAAACATATTACGTACGATCAATTAAACTATTATCACGTAAAAACTCGATAGTTATAGCTAGTGTACATAGTTTTAGCACATATAGCTCATTGCTTACTGATATGCCTAATGATTAAAGAAAAGTAAATTTTCCTTTTTCTTTAAAAAAGAGATTTAAATGAAAAAAATCTCCTAAAAAGACATTTTAAATATCATGAAGACCAAAAAGCAAGATCTCATGGCTATTTAAAGTCTCAAACAACAACGTTAATAGCCATACCATTTCCTGCAATTTTATGCAATTATGGAGAAAGCATTTACCTCTTTTATCTCAACACTCTTGTTGCTTTACTATGTTATGGCTACTTCAGCCATGACTCATACCAACATTAGCACTGATCAATTAGCTCTTCTTTCTTTAAAATCCCAAATCATTTCAGACCCTTTTCACTTCTTTGATGAAAACTGGTTTTCAACTACTTCTGTTTGCCATTGGGTTGGAGTCATTTGTGGTTCTCGCCATCACAGAGTTAAGTCGTTGAATCTTTCCAACATGGCTCTTATGGGAAGAATTCCACAAGATTTTGGAAACCTCACATTTCTTGTTACTCTTGACTTGGGAAGCAACAATTTCTATGGAAAATTGCCTCAAGAAATGGCACGTTTGAGTCGACTAAGGTTTCTTGATTTAAGTATTAACAACTTCAGCGGGGAGGTTCCTTCTTGGTTTGGGGTTTTAAACCAACTTCAAGTTGTAACTCTTAGGAATAATAGTTTCATTGGATCCATCCCTTCTTCATTTTCTAATCTTTCAAAACTCGAAACTTTGAGTTTGAGATCCAACTCCTTAGTTGGTCAAATCCCAAAAGAGATTGGAAA